GCTAGAGATGGAAAAAGCAATTTCTAGTTTAGTACCTTTGCCTTATGCGATTGTGTGATATATTGTTAGATATAATCAACACTGTTTAACAAAATACAAATACATTTCTACATTTTTTCCTAAATAAAAAAGGAAGGACACTAATATTAGCTGACACACAGTTATTAAGTAGTAATTAAGTAACCCAGCAAGCATTTTGTTGAAAAACTGGATGGTCACGGTTGGCTGGGCTCAACCACAGAGTTGCATTCTGCATCACAGAGCATTTCTGCGTTTGGTATGATATCTACGTACGCTGTAATTTTAATAGTACTCTTGTAATAATCATAAAAAAAAGTTAAGCCTTCAAATTATCCGTCATGGTTGTCATCACAGAACAGTCCCTAACCTTCATTTACGCACTTGGTGAAAGCGTTTGTGTGTGTGTGAGACAGACTGGGACTCAAAGACAGTGTATTTGAGTGCGTGACAGCTGCTGAATGATAAATCTGAGATCAAATCAGAGTGGGGGTTTGACTGTCCCCCTGCGCTCACTCTCGTTCTTCTTCTGTAAATATCAGAGGCTTTAAAAGTTTAACAGGCTCTCAGCGTAAACTCTGCAAGGTTACTGTAGATTTTTCCAATTCAGCTTCAGGTTCCAATCGGCTTTTATGATCAGAGCAGCACCGAGCTTTCGTAAATGCACAGAATGAATGTGATAGTTGTTTGACGTTTAGTCACAGTCACGGTGTTTGAACACCGCTCTGTGTGTTTTCACCTGTTGACAGAATATTTTCAGTCTAATTAAAATGATATTGCTGCATTGATTGTTGAACAAAGCAAATTAATTGCTGCTGATTCTCTGCTGACAGTCTCTGTTTCGTGATGTAACATGCACACTTCAGACTCTCGACCTTGAAACTTCAGTAACGTATAACCCGACTGCCATTTGCAGATATAAACTTGATTGTAGGTTGAGATGTTTGATTGTATCCTTCTGTTGCAGGCTCAGAAATCGCAGTCGAACTCGAGCGCCGATGGCGTCATCTGTGTGGTAAGTTCAATGCCGGTGAATGTTGTACTACAAATCTATGGTATAAAGTGAAGAATAAGCATAAGCTGAATGTCTAGCACATGAAGAGCAACTAATGTGTTTTGAGTAAGGTTAGAGATGTATTTAAGTAAACCTTTTACGGCTAAAAAGGCATCTACAAAGCAACAAAATGTAGACCTTCTGATAAG